TTAACTCATTTTGTATGTTATGGCCAAGGTAATGATTATGAATTTTACCATTTTGAATACGTTTAAGGTGTTCTTGCATTATAGGATCAAATTCTGTAATCATTTCAATTTAACTTAAAAAATTTTCATTGTCATCTTGATAAATCTTCTCATTTGTGCCACGAAATGCCAAATTATTTTTTGCAAGATTTTTAAGTATAGCAATAATTCTTACTAATACATTCCTCCAATGCTCTTTTTCCTTGTTTATCTTTTCTTGTAAATTTTGATTAATAGTTTTATTTTTAAGTAATCTCATTTCAACATCAAACCAAATATTCATATTTATAATATGTTCACTGCTTATTTCATGACTTTTAAGCTTGGCACTAAGATTTTTCCAATCTTGACATCCTTCGTTTGTTAATTGAATTGTAATTGATTTTTGACTGGATAATTTACAACAAAATTAAAATACTTTATCTAATTCTTTTGAATATACTAGCCATCTCCTATCATGTTTTTCTCCATTTGGTAATTTTCGAATATAATGAACAGTAGAAAAAGTGTCTAGAATTTTTATCATTTGGAAAACATAAATTAGTTTCTCTAATTGGACCTTTTTCAACTAATAAATCTATTAAATTTGTATTTATATTTTCCCATTGTGCTGGATCATATATATATATTTAACAATAGTTTCATCAATATCATTAAAATTTTTATCTTCTTGATCAACTAATTCATCTTCTTCTAAATTATTATTATCTTCTTTGTTAATATTAATATGTGGTGAATTAGATTTATGATTATTAGAAAGTGCTAGGTCTCATGTTTATGAACCTACTATCTAATCTAGTTGATTATCAAACAATTTCTAATAATATTTGTTGAGTGTTTATTTGCTTGTTAGGTATTCTACACAAAGATCCCCGAGTTGGAGGTTGGATGTATTGCACCTTAACGATGACATTCAATGGAGTTTGCAAAATATCAAAATGAAGTCATTTACAATTCAAGTCAAAGATTCAAGATCAAGCTTCATTCGCAAACCAAGACGAGCTTATTGAAGATCATTAGCTTGGGTATGGTAGTCTAGGTTTTTATACTTTATGTTATTAATGCTTAAAGCTCAAATATTACACACACACACACACACACACACACATTGTTTTCGTTTTATTATTTTCAAGTTTAGCCACATAAATATGAAACTAATGGATATAGCTATATATACACATATTTGTTTCATGTTTATATGTGCCTGAAATGATTTCATTAAAATCAAGCTTTAACAATTTAAAATTCATGAAATCATATATATCAATTTCGTATTTTTGTAAGTTTGCAGAATCTCACAAATACATGTTTACCGATTAAAAACTTGATTATAATATTTTACATCTTTATAAAATCTATTAATCCACTTAAGAGAAGTATTAAACTTGTTTGAAATCATTTTGTTAAAATCATATGTTTTTGAGATTTTGTATTTTGACCTATTTTGTAAAACAATGAGTTTTCACAAATAAAAAGTGCAATTTGAAAAAAATTCTTTTTGTAACATGTTCATTTTTTGTTTATAAATATTTTCTAAAGTTTTACATTTTTTGAAATTTATATGCTATTTTTAAAAGCACTTCAAAACTCATTTTCAAACCTGAACAATGCATGTGCACGTTTATCAGTCGACTGATGATAGTTACTCGACCAATGAAACGCGCTGTAAAGAACGAAAGTTTCTGCTCAGTCGACTGATAAACCCATCAGTCGACCGATGCAGGTTATTAGTCGACTGATGAGTTCATTTGTTGACCGATAGCGGATGAGTGGTCTGTAACGGTCAGCTCATCAGTCGACTGATGAACAATATTAGTCGTCTAATGGCCTGTAACAGCTAGTTTTCCAGCCTTACACAAATTTTGTGATTTTTATCTTTTTGCTTGGGTTTTAGTTTTTGGGTTTGTATTGTGAACCTATAAATACCCATTCAGTCTCAACATTTAGGGGTTAACAAAGAAAGGTTTTAATCAAGTTTACAAGTTTGTTTAAGTGTGTTTTAAGTTTGTTTTTAAGTGTGTTTATGTGAAGAAGTTTTCACAAGAGGAGATCATTTCTTTGGTGTTTGGTCTTCAATCTCATTCTCTCTCACTCTTGTTTTCGGAGAAGTTTTACTAAACTTGATTTCTAGCTTTATATATATTTGTTGTTGATTAACACTTCAATAAGTTAGATTTTATATTGAGTTTAGTTTTATTATTACTCATTGAATGCACAACAATCCTTGAGCTTTTAGTATTTTCACATTAAGTATAATTTGGGTTGTGGTGAGTGATTCCTTGAGTGTGAGCTTAATTGTGTTCTCATCTTATTTAAAAAACAAACACTTTGTACTTGTGCCTAATTGTGAGATCATATTGTAATACACAAAGACACAAAGAGAAGTGGTTGGGAGAGACGGGGTCAATTCCAAAAGGAGTAGCATTGGTAGTAAAGCCTAGGGAGATGTGATAAATCTGAGCACTTGAGAAAGGTGACACGAGCTAGGCCAACACTTGAGGGTGCATTGTGTGATTACATTTGTGTGAGTTGTGAAAGTTTTCGGTGAGCTAGAAAACCGATTGTGTGAGCTGTAAACATTTTTGGTAAACGTTGAAAAACGGTTGTGATAGTGAAGATTCTTCTCGAGAGTGGAGAGTGGAAACGTAGGTTGGGAGTGACCGAACTTCGTGATCACATTGCATGTTTGAGTTTTGCCTTGGCATATGATTTATGCTCATTGTTTATTTCATTCTATATCGTCATTGTCTCATGTTTATATTGCCCTTAGTTTAATTGCATATCATTGCTCATATTTGTTGTATATCATAATTGCTAGGATATTTTTAATAAGTTTTAATTTGGCATTAATATCGGATTAGATTAGCATATACCCTATTCACCCCCTCTAGGGTAATTTCAGAAAGTTCTTGACATATTTCTTTTTGTCCTAATAAAGTATCATCCTCTAGTGAAAATTCAATTGTTTTTTCATTTAAATTTTCAATGGGTTTTTATAGAGTTTTGATTTTTAGTAGTAGTAACAAACCTATCAAGTGCTCCTTTTTGAGATTGAATAAATTCTTCTATTTTTCTTTCTTTCATACGTTTTGCATATCCAGACTCATATATTCTAGCAGACATATTTATATTCAAATTATAGAAAATATAGATCTCTAAAATTCTTAAAATTAAAGAAACAATAAAACTTGATTTATGCCTTGCACTTTCAATTTGATGATACTTTAAAGTCTGACACCGTTACCTGCATGAATATGATAAAAGAACAAACAAATATTAATTTTTATTTAGATTAATTAGAATGAGAATCTAGGAGAATAATTGGCCCAAATTAAAAACACCATGTAAGGATTAAAATCTAATCAATTTAGTTGAACTAAAGATATAAAATAAAAAAATAAAAACACAAAATACAGAAATATATATATATATATATATTATATATATATATATATATATATATCTATATATATATATATAATATATATAATATAATTATATATATATATATATATAATATATATATATGTACTATTAATGGGTATGCTTGTATAAGCCAGCAAAAAGTTGTGCTTCGTAGTGACGGTGGCATACTTCCTCACTGCATTCAAATGGTTGCATATCCTATGCACTCGCATCAACCCCATGTTGAAATGTAAATTTGTGCTCTGGTAGCCAATCATACCCATATCTCTCTCTCATATATATATATATATATATATATATATATATATATAATATATATATATATATATATATATATATATAGTATATATATATAAGAACAATAAGAATGGATAGTAAAGTAATTATGCAAATATGTTCAATATATAATATGCATATCCTATATATATATATATATACAATAATATATATATTATATATATATATAAATATATATACATATATATATATATATATAGAGAGAGAGAGAGAGATAGATAGATAGATAGATAGATAGATAGATAGATGAGTATGCTTGGTACCAAGCACAAATTTTATGCTTTGTAGTGAGGTGACACAATAAAATAGGACCAAATTTTATGCTTTTTAGTGAGGTGACACAATATATATAGGACCCCAATAAAATGGGGGCCCTAGGCATATGCCTTAGTGGCCTATGCCTTCAGCCTTGCCCCATAACTATCAAATATTAATTTAGAGTTCATGAGTGTATCTCATATGCTCCTCGCTAAACTTAGTCCCCACATCATTTGTCCTCACATAAGCATTTTTAATATGTGCATTAAATTTTCAGTAGCACTAATCTAATTCTAGGAATCTAAGATATTCTTTGAAATGAGTCCCCATGTCCTCCCTTCTATAATTTAAAGGCCTAAGAATGTTTATAATTTTTCTTTTAGTGATCTCTTGTACCAGAGTGACTCAATACCTGGCAATTATGGTCCTCCTTTTAAAAAAGAATCATTCACGTTGCCTCCATTTTCTAAGATCATACACAACCTGGAAATGACTTTTGATGATAGGGATGTATCATAAGCACGAGAGTAGATTAAATTTTAATCTTTTTGCACAGTAAACATCAAGCAATTCAATGCTCCTTTTGGAGTTTAGCCCATAAAATTTCGACATCTGCAACAATTGAATAATGCATGAGAATCAGCAAATTTATGGAGATTAGAGAAAAAAAACTTTGCAGTTGAAATTAGCCAAAAAGAAAAGTCATCATATTTAGTGAATTTTTAGAAAGGACATATTTTGGTCTTTGGCTAATACAAGTGATCAACAGGTGTATTATCCTGAGATCTGTTTTTCTACAATTTTTTGCTACAACCTCTGCAGCTCATAAAGCTACTTCATACTGTTAAACAAGCAAACAAGAGAAAAAAAGACAGGCTTAGTGACAAAAAAGAAGAATATTGCACACCTCCCTAGCTTGGATGCAGAAAATCTACAGAATAAACAAACTCCTTCAGTTATGTGTAAGGCTACTGTTTTCTTTAAACACTAAGTAAGCTTCATTTGCAAGTAGAATCATAACTCCTAGCATATTTCTTTATGTGCAGATTCTCAGAAAAAAGTTGTCCAGATACCATCCAGAGTAAATTATTGGTAGATTGCCTACAAATATTACATAATTGTTTTGCAATCAGTTGGAGAACAATCCTAACAGCAACTACTTGGTAGTTTGACTACGAATATTACATAATTTCACAACTTCATATTATAACAAGAAGGCAATATTGGTAGTACGGCCGATAACTTCTGAGTTATAACAGGTTGAATCGTCAACTTCCTGTGCAAAATCACAATGCCATAATTAGTATATAAGGAACTAATGGGTGTTAGCTGCCCACACGGGGGGCTGTTTTTTCAACGACGATTGGATGATTGCAAAACTGACAGTTTCAATAGAATATTTCCCCAAACAAAACAGCAGTAAATAAATCACGATAATTAATCTTGGTATATGCGCACTTTAAATTATGAGCATTAAATGAATGATGCCAACCATTTAATTGAATGATGAAAGTGTACTTTTACCGCTATGAGGGCCTTTTTCCTCCAACGCCAACTGATTTCCTTCATTTGCGATTTTGTGACTTTGCAACTTTACAGTGAATGCGAACTTAGATGGAGGAGGAGATGTCTAATACATGGATCGAGTAGCGTGATGTTGTTCTCAGGAAAAGAAAAGAAAAAAGGAAAAAAAAGAAGGTAAAATAAAGGAGTAGTATGATGGATGCATCATAAGAGTTCATCTAAAGAAAAAATCGTAACAAAAATGCAAGGACCCATAAACTAAGGAAGAAATAAAGCTACAAGGAAGCAAGAGTGGTAAATTTTCAATGTACCAGTGTAATGTTAGCTTTATGAAGCAGATAAATTTTGCGCTCAGTGGTATCCAGATCTATAGCTACAATCCACAAGTAGTCTAGGGATTGGATTCATCAAAGAATATTTTGTGATCCCGCCCCCACCCCCACCTCAACCCTCCACTTCTTCCCGACACACTCCACCCTAGTTAGTACTGAATATATTCCAACCTATAAAACATACCAATAATGAATCAAAAGAATAACATAGCGGTAGAAATATATAAAAGGTTTATTAAGGATTAATTACATCCGAATACCCTGAGGCATAATGGTGTAATTGCATGGGTGACCCTAAGGTGTGTGTATTGCGCGGGTAATTCTGAGATTAGTGACTATAATTACACGAGCAGCCTCAGTTATATGTATATATTTCCCTTCGTAGGGTTACCCATATAGATATAAACAGCAAATCTCACGTAACAATGGAATCTGTTTATCTTTTCCTTGTTTGGATTACTCGCGTGGATACAATCAGTAATCTTAGGTTTACCTATGTAGATACTCGAACTTAAACATCACCAATGTAATTACACAATACCTCATGGTGCCTGAATTTAATTAGCCCTTTTGTTAGAGAGAGAACGTAATGAGAGCCTTACGACACTAACCAAACATAAAAGAATATATAAGACGTGCCGCATGAGACTACCCCTAAAGCTAAATCTCATTAGAAAAGTAATTATACATAGTTAAATCAAGCAAGTAATTTAGTGACAGCAAACGAAACATGAAAGAATATAATACAGATCACATGATTAGTTGGCATCACTGCTCACGCAGAATCCTAATAAAGGAGCTGCTAGGTACTATTTTGCTTTCCAATTTACCAAAAAAGTCAAAGAGAATCCTCCGGTTATAAATCACCAGCTTTTAAAAAGTGAAAACCTATGACGGAAAGGCCAGAAACAAATTCTCTTGGTTTCCCTCAAGTACAATAATACAACACGACTTAGATAATTTTGGGTATTTTCGACCTAACATATGAATAAATAAATAAATAAAATAAAAAATCTCACACGTTATTCTGTTTGAATTGGCCTCGAAGGATATGTAAGCAAGTATGACAGATAAACATCTAATAGCAGGAACATTACTACCTTGAACGTGTGTATTTTAATGGATGGATTAAGTTTGATGTACCTCGATCGCGCTGGAAATCTCGCGCTAGAAGTTTCATGTAGCTGACACGTTACAGCTGCAAGAGAGGAATATTGATGAAGCTGCTGTCAAAGCTCCAGACTTCAGATTTTAAAATGTACATGCTGAGAAACATTTGCGTGCAACATTTAAGTCCGAGCTATAACAATGGGAAATTTTGACATTATGTCAATATGCAATCACGCATTACACAACCTACAGTGGCATCGTCTAGATTCTGTTGCATATATATATCGTGTTAAATGTATTTGAGTCAGCAGGAGTTTATACATTCCCATCTCATTAGCTTCAACGAGGCACGTCTTACTGGACGGTTGCATTTCTGTCACAGAGTTTCAGCGCCAAATACTATGATGTGGAAGTTGTACCATTTTCTATGTTAAGACTTTTATGTTAGTCGATGTTACGTTAAATATAGTAGTTAGACTGTCTTGCTTTTGCTTTGCTTTAGTCCCGTATCGCTTAGGGTTCTAAACTTCTATCCTTACTTTTGTATTTAGACACTTCAATTCAATGAATAACATTATCAGTTTCTCTCAATCATTATCAGAGCTATACCAGTTTCTATGCCACGGCTTCTATGTCAATCGCTGTTAAAACATATGAAAAGCTAGTTCCAGTCCACAGAGCCACAAAAAGGAGCAGACTAATCAGAGTCATGGTACCCCTTTGGTTCATTTCCAAGTTCTCAACATATAATTTATTTAACAGAATTATGAACCAAGGAGTAAAAGCCACGGTGTTTCTGACAAATTAAACTGATGACACATAAGCAAAGGAATGTACAGTATGAGTTAAAAGCTGAAGAAAAATAAGAAATAGTGGTGGTGCATTTATTTGAAACTTCAACTAAACATGTAGTAACAGGAAGTGTTGGGGAATACCCGGGTCTACGCTAAACCCCTAAAACAGTAAGAAAAGTAGTATAGAGAAAAGTACACCAAAATTTACGAGGTTCGCCAAACTTGCCTATGTCCTCGGGAGCCACACAATTAATTTCTTATTAATCAAAAAAATTACAATGCAAGAGCAGATCTCAAACTTGAGATCTCTCAATAAATACAATACCAACACTGTCACTACAGTGTTAATTCCCTCTCTTTAAATTCTCTCTTCTATTTAATTCTCCTCTTAAATTCCCCCCAAACTTCACTGTTGAGAGCTGAGAAAGAGAGAGAGAGAGAGAGAGAGAGAGAGAGAGAGAAGAAGAAGAAGCAGCAGCAACAAA